GGGTGTCTCTGTCTGTGTGTGGGGTGGCTGGTGCACTGCACTGCACCTACCTGTGTGAAGAGCAGGCATCTGTGCCCCTCTTGCTTGAGCCGCTTGAGCAGCCCATCCAGCACCGTCAGCTTGCCGCAGTCCCACTGCAGCATCCGACGGTCGGGGAACGAACACAACAGACTGGTTTGCCACACACACCCACACACCCACACACCCACACACACAACACAAGGGCAATAAGCCAAATGCATGTGCCTGTCGGTCTTTCTGTCGGGCGTACTTGAGTTGAATGGGGTGCAGCAGAGTGTCCCTTGAGCGCAGGAGCCTCGTTGAGACGGGCCTCAAGAACATCTCTGACCGCTGCACGTTGTCGCAACCCCCCGGGCCGGTCAGACTGACACGCGCGCACACACACAATGTCAATGTGTGTCGGTGTACCCCTCTCCCTCTCTCCCTCCCCGTGTCGTCTCTCGTACTGGAGTATCGGGGCTGTCGTCGTGACCTTGGGCACGGCGCACAAGGCATGACGCAGCATCGGCCACAACCTGTGTGAGCCCAGCACACACACACACGAGTGAGTGCCCGGAGGCCCATCCAGCCATCCATCCCCGTCAGCTCCCTCGCCGGCCGACGCACCTGTGCAGCACTTGCAAGGGTGTGGGACACATCTCCTTCAGGGCAGCCGTCATGTCCAGCAGATCCTGGCTCGACTTGGCACGCTCATGCACCAGCAACGCCGCTGTGTGCGGCGCCCGATGCACCCGGTCACTGTCACTGTCACCGTCACCGTCACCGTCACCGTCATCGTCATGGCCGTCTGGTCGTCTCCTCCTCCTTTGCTTGAGGATGCTCTTGACCATCTTGATGCAGTCGGTGCCGTAGACGACGTGCGCCTTGTCCAGCCGCTGAGTGTTGAGGGCGTTGTTCATGCGCCAACGGCCCTGCCGGAAGGCCACCTCACGGTGCTCGACGTCCTTCAGGGCCCTGAGCACAATGAATGCCATGCCCGAGATGCAATATTTCGTGTGTGTGTGGTCGATTCCTTTCTCGTTACTGACTGTTCGATGAAGGGGTGTCTCGCATAGTGTGAGTTGAGCCTCCAGTGCTCCCTCACGAGCTGCGCCCGCATCTTGCCCAGCACGAACTCGTCCAACGGCGGCACACTCGCACTCCCCAGCCGCCGCCCCTCCTCGGGTGCAAACCCGAAAGGCGAGCCCCCGTCGCCATGGCAGCTGTCGACAGCTGGGGAGACGTCTACCTCCATCTCGACACCATTGGCCACACCCACGCCCACGCCGTGGTTGTCATTGGTGGGCTCTTCCTTGACCACCGGCAGTGGACGCTCGTCGACGGCCATCATGCTCATGCCGACGTCCTCCTCTCGCTTTGGGAACGGGGGAGGGGGAGGGGCCATGGGCGCAGGGCGGGACTGGCCGAGAGCCACAGGGGGGTTGAACAGACCATTGGCGGCGGACGGGTGATCAGGTGGTGCATGTGCAGGGGGGGCTGCCTCCGGTGGCTGCGGTGGCTGTGGCAAGAGGGACTGCCGTGCGCTCTTCTCCTCGGCCCGCTTCTTTTCCCGAAAAGCGCGGTCATCTTGCTTG